AAATGCAATAAATTATAATAGAAATGCATTTACCAACAGAACAATATATATGTGCATACGGAGCCCCGCTGGTAACATCCTCTATAAATAAAAATAATGAGTGGCCATGACTTAGTAAGGCGTGGGAATGAGATCCTAATGTGTGGCCACAACTTAGTAAAGTGCTGGAACAAGATCCTAATGCGTGGCCACAACTTAGTAAGGTGCTGGAACGAGATCCTAATGCGTGGCCACAACTTAGTAAGGCGCTGGAACGAGATCCTAATGCGTGGCCACGACTTAGTAAGGTACGATCTCATCCCCATGCCTTACTAAGCCGTGGCCACGCATTAGGATCTCATTCCCACGCATTAATAAGGTGTGGCCACGCCTTATTTTTATTTATATGTGACGTCACCAGCAAGGCTCCGTAATGTGCAAATAAAACGAAGCCATATTTTTTCACTTTTGCAGCCACAGCTATAAAACACAAAAGAAGACAGCAGCAACCAATGGACTGATTAGAAATGAGTTAAAAGTTAAAACGTGATGCTAAACTGCGTTTTTATATAATCAGATAAAGAAACATATCATGATGTCAGGCAGTAAACAGGCAAACGGCGCCTGCAGCTGATTTTCAGACATTTCCTAGGCCATGTTTGCCAATGCATTCTATCAAAACAGCAATGAGAAACAAAATAGGACCAAAAATTCCTCATACATTCAAGTAAACCAGGCCAATAATTCTGATTCACAGTCCCCAACCAGAACATCCAGCAGCGATTAATAAAAAACAGTGGTCTCAGCTGGAGACTGGTTGCTCAGCAGCCGCCTTAAACATCCACCAGCAACCCACCGGACGGACTAGGGACGCCTTGAGCGCTGCTGATGATGCAAAAAACTACACAACCATCTAAACACACACACAAACCCATTCATGAGCCCCCTGTGTTCCTTTCTAAGCTCCTCCTTTGTGGCCAGAGCTCATTGTACTGGGCTGGATCGGCACTGCCTGGTTGAAGTATTGCTAGGTAGAGATTTAAGGGAAAAGAAAGCATGCAAGATGACAATGTCTAATTACTCTCCATTCAGGACGGACTCTGGAGTCGGTCTAGACTATGAGACGGGCGGAGAGCGTGTGAGATGTCTGAAGGACGGCTGCCCCGGTAACTGAGGCTAATTGGACTATCGGCATGACTCTGCGTGACCCGGTATTGACAGCTAAACCCTTGGGGTGGCGAAAGTAAACACACATGGCGAACAATCATGCCATTCAGGGGTGTGGACTGAGAAAAAAACAAAAAAAAACAATTGCCTGACTCCCACACAGTCAAGGAATCTTCTGTATGTATGTGTGTGTGTGTGCTGGGCTGTTCGATGTAGATAAAATACCATATTACAGTTTTTATGCTATATACTGCAATTGCAACATACTAAAGCTGACCTGAACAGCATTTACAGGCTCTGAATACTTACTGGTGTTTCCAAATGAGAACTTAAATACTCCAAAGTCTCAAAATCACTCATACACAATAATCTTTATGTCTTAACCATAATTTTAAGCACAATGATAAAACCGCAGTTCAATACAGCCATATTATTAGATTAACAGAATGACTGAAATACAGCTTTTTGAGTCACTTCTGTCACGAGTAAAGTGGTTATGAGTCGTTTGCTTTTGAGTTGTTTTTTCAAGTTATCATATTATAAAAGCTGCACTGAAGGCTCAGCTGGGTTGAGCCCAGTTTAGCTCAGTCATAGTCAGGCTTAGCTCTGTCATAACCAGGTTTATTTCAGTCTTGGCCAAGTTTAGCTCAGTCATAGACGGGTTTCGCTCAGTCATAGCCAGGCTTAGCTCAGTCATAGCCGGTTTGAGCTCAGTGATGCTGGGTTTAGCTTAGTCATAGCTGAATTTAGCTCAGTCATAGCCAAGTTTAGCTCAGTCATAACCAGGTTTAGCTCAGCCTTAGACAAATTGAGCTCACTCATAGCCAAGTCTAGCTCAGTCATAGCTGGGTTTAGCTCAGCCTTAGCCATGTTTAGCTCAGTCATAGCCAAGTCTATCTCAGTCAAAGCCAGGTTTAGCTCAGTTATAGACAGACTTAACTCCATCATAGCCAGGCTTGGCTCAGGGTTTAGCTCAGCCTTAGCCAAGTTGAGCTTAGTCATAGCCAAGATTAGCTCAGTCTTAGCTGGGTTTAGCTCAGCCTTAGACAAGTTTAGCTCAGTCATAGGCAGGTTTAGCTCAGTCATAGGCAGGTTTAGCTCAGTCTTAGGTGGGTTTAGCTCAGTCTTAGGCAGGTTTAGCTCAGTCTTAGGTGGGTTTAGCTCAGTCTAAGACACTGTAAAAATTCAGTATTTGATACAAAAGTTGCTCTTATGCTCTAATACATGCTAATGTTAGCCCCAAGTTAACATGTTAGCCTCAAGCTAAAATGCTAGTCACTATATAATATGACACAACACGATAAGATACGACACAACGAGATACGGTGTGATATGTCGTACCGTTACACAGTCCTGTTAAATGCATTACTAAACAACACCAACTGCTCTTCACACTGTGATCGCTTTGTGATAAACTGACCAAAAGAAATGTTTCACTATTAAAGTGTGAGAAGCTGTTTTCTTACGACAGTGACGATGCATATCTTGTGCAGCCCTGATCTTGACACATACGAGGAATTCAGATAGAAAACACAAACAGCACAGATACAGAGACAGAGCTGAGGTTATCAGCAGTGGAAGTGTTTGGGGCTAATTGTGTCTGTTTGGAATCAGTAAAGCTGCTTTCCTGCAGCCTTTGTGTGCGTAACAGTAGCTGAATGTGGGAGAGAATTTAGAGGCTGATAAACTGAAGAGATTTTATGGCCTCATTGTTTCTGCCCTTTGATCTAAAACAGTGCAGAGAGACCAACCGACACTCAACTCCACTCAATTACATTCACTCGTGCATGCAGTCGTATCCAGGGCTGGGTATCGAAATTCAGTTCTTTTATGGGAGTGTTGAACATCATTCAGTTCCAAATTTAAATACCTAAGTAGTTGGTCTGCATCAGTGAGCCAATAAGCATGCTCGTTCCAAAATCCTGACTGCCGACTGGCTGTTAAACTTCATGTTATTAACGTCAGCACTTCAGTCTGTAATCCAATACAGTCAATGTAATAAATAAACCCACTTCCAGAATCCAGCACTCAATTCTGCTTTAAGCCACGCCCACTTTTGGTTTGTCATTCGCAGGGGAATTCCACCAGTTTTCCAACATTTCTGTTAACATTCAGAGTAGTGTGATGTAAAATGCCTGGTTCTTGAGAAACTTAGAGAGTCAGAGCTGTTCACAGAGTTGGTGATAGCTCCCTCTAAAAGTTCTCTCACAGAAAGTTACTATGTTGTACAAAGAGAAGGTTTTGACCTAAATTCACATCCAGTTTTTTAAAAATCCATTCATGATGGAGAAGTACATGCAGGATGGGGTCAAATAATCCCCCCGAAAAGCTTTATTTCTCACTATTTGTTGATGATTACCATCATCAATATCACATATAACAACTAGACAGTACATTAAATGCCTATATATTTGTACAGTAGACATTGTGACTGCTGGTTCCTTTCAGCACCACTGTAAAGAAATCTGCATCTCTATACAAGTGATTGACATTGTTCACACCACAGTGGCTTAATTATGCAGAAATTTCGAAAAAAAATGGTGGAATTCCCCTTTAATAGAAGGCCCTGAATGATACCCTGTTCTGGTCATACATGCATATTCATACTGACATGAGCACAGAGACACTCATACATACATACACACCAATCAGCCATAACATTCACATTCACTGTCCATTTAAACCCCTCAGTGTCGCTGCTGGACTGAGAACAGCCCACCAACCAAAAATATCCAGCCAACAGCGTCCTGTGGGCAGCGTCCTGTGACCACTGATGAAGGACTAGAGGATGACCAACACAAACTGTGCAGCAGCAGATGAGCTATCGTCTCTGACTGCACATCTACAAGGTGGACTGACAAGGTAGGAGTGTCTAATAGAGTGGACAGTGAGTGGACACAGTGTTTAAAAACTCCAGCAGCACTGCTGTGTCTGATCCACTCGTACCAGCACAACACACATTAACACACCACCACCACATAAGTGTCACTGCTGAGAATGATCCACCACCCAAATAATACCTGCTCTGTGGGGGTCCATGGGGGTCCTGACCACTGAAGAACAGGGTAACAAAGTATGCAGAGAAACAGTTGGACTACAGTCTGTAACTGTAGAACTGCAAAGTGCACCTATACAGTAAGTGGAGCTGATAAAATGGACAATGAGTGTAGAAACAAGGAGGTGCTTTAATGCCATGGCTGATGAGTGTACTTATGAACAACAATCTCTCAAACCCTGGCACAGCGTGTGCTGCTGTGCTAACCCCCCTGGTTGGCAGCCCTGACCGGACACGCGCAGTAGAACCAAACACGATCACCTCAGCTATCAGGAATGCGCCGGAATTGAACCGGAGCACCAATCCATTCACCGAACGAGCCTCGCACCGCAGCACCTCGTGACCCTGTGACGCCCAGAGCCGGATTAAGACCCTTTGGTGCCCCTGGGCATTAGAGTTATGGTGCCCCATCTAACATACCAGACTCCCTATCACACACACTGCTTATTCACTGATAATAACCGAAGACCTAAGATCAGCCAGATGTGCAGATGAGGGGCCGTCGGTTCTAAAGTCACAATGCAAATAGAATAAAATGCCATTATCTGTGTTTTACTCTCAGGCTTGTCTTCCACATTCAAGGCAGGGCATGAAGGTTTAGACATATTTACAGCTGGACTATTTCACTTAGACTGACTAGCGTGGTAACACACTGGTGCCCCTGGACATTAGGTGCCCCCTAGCAGTCACCCTGGTCACCCATGTGGTACACCCAGCCGTGCTGATGCCCCGTATGAAACGCACTCCTCTTGAGTGGACAGTTTTATTTGTATTTTTCCCCCTTCCACACTCAACTCACCGGCCAGGCGAAGCTGAAGGGCAGCACGATGCGCGCGCGGCTCTCCCCGGCCAGCGTCACGCTGTTCCCCCCGAGCACGGCCGTGAAGCCGCTGCCGAAGCTGCACGGTCCTCCGGCGGACACGCGCGACTGGTACTCCTTCAGGCACGCGCGGAAATACGTGTCGCACTCGTCCCGTGCGCACACCTCCGTCGCCGGGTCGCGCGCGCCGCCGTTGCAGCACGCGCCGCTCTGCAGCTCGCCTCGCGCGTTGTGCACGGACAGCAGCTGCAGCTCGAAATGGCCAGAGGCTCCGGAGCTCTGCGGAAACACACACATAAATAAATACGCAAAACACTGCTAAATGCACAGAAATGACACGCAAGCCAAGCTCGTGCAAAGTTAGTTTAGCTCGTGCTTGTTTTTTTGGACAGTGCAAAGCATTGCATCGCTAAAACTAGACAATGTGTGGTGAAAATCAAGCCTCGCGCTTTATCAAAAGTTGTCAAAAATTACGTTTTGTGCAAAAGCTCGTGCAAAAACTGCTGCTGTCCAAAAACACCAAACCAATACATAAAAGTGGTGCTGTAAGTGGCTCAGTTGGCTAAACTGGCACGTTTACAGGCTTCTTGTTCGAAATGTCCAGGTCCACCTTAAATGGTGCAGCAGTTAAATGCTGACGCAGCACCACTTAAGGTGGAACGGGAAAATTCAAACAAAAAGCTGGCAAATAAGAAGTTGAAGTCAGCGCGCATCGCTTCTGTCAATCTAAACTGAACAAAAACTAGAGTGAAAAAGTGAACTGAAGTGATCTAGGCGCGTGCTTCGAAGCCCTTTCGGTCCACGCACGAGAAGCTAAGGTTACATCCATTTTTTTTACATTGGCAAAAAAAATCAAATCTGCGCTGAGCTCCTTCACAAAAGTCTAAAAACTAACGCAGCAAGTCAAAAGAGCACAAACAGAGCGCGCGCACACAGCAAACGGAAGGCTCGTGCATGGGAAAGTAAAGCGCCGTACCTGGATCCAGAAGCAGTGCAGGAGCAGATGCAGGAGCGCCATCGCGAGCCCCAGCCTCCGAGTCCCGGCCATGCCGCCCCTGCGTGCACTCTCCACTGCGTGCGGCCACAAACTACGAGTTCAGCTGGTGCGCGCGCGGCTCTTCATACACAACCCCGGCTCCACGCGCCCCTTCTTCCAGCTCTGCACATGCACGAGTGCAGACGAGGGAAAAATCCTGAATAACGTACAGGCGCGCGCAGATGGGAAAAGCCCCTTTTTCTGTTTTTCCTCCGCGAGCCTCTTTTTCTTTTTTCGTTGTTGTTCTTGTTTTTTTTATGCTCCTTCGTTCTAAAGACGTTCTTTCCGTTCTTTTTGTTGTTGAACGTTCCAAACGCGTTCTTTTTTCCTGCTGATGTTCTTTGATGTGTTATTGTTGTTGTTGTTGCTAATTATGACGTTTTTGTTCGGTGCGCTGCGTTCGACCGTACCGACGGAGCTCGCGAGCTGCGCTTCGATTGTGAGAGCACGCGAGCGTTCTGTCTATAACGGCCCCGTTCTCAGCAGCGGGGGGCGGGGCGCCTCCGGAGAGCGTGAATATTCACGAGTGGGCGGGGCTATCGATTAAAGTCGCGCCCCGCTGCTACAGAAAGGAGGAGCGTGCTGTTCTGAAAAACGGCTTTAAAGGGCCCATATTACACATATTCTTCCACTATTGATCTATTTTTTCTTCTGTGATCTCTTTATGAAGTGTGTTTGCCTTGTGTCTGCCTTAATTCAGCTTGTACATCCCTGCTGAAAAAAATAAACATAGAAACCATTAAGAGATTCTGTTGGTTCCTGATGGTTTTGTAACGTGTTTTGGCTTTTTTTTGATGGGTTGATATCACAATGTAAAGGACCCTAATGGCTTAACAGGTGACCAGTGACCGATTCTAAATGAATTTGATAGTTTCCTAATGGGATCTAAAGATGTTCTACAAGAAAAAAACAGTGGTCTCCATTGGAAACCATTTAGCCAATTCCCATTAGAAAGCAAAACAATTAGGTTTTGACCCTTTTTCAGCAGGGATGACCGTTTTTCCCATCTCTCTTCATCTCTTAGGCCAGAAACATACTGTGGTATAGAAGAAAACATGGAAAACAGCACGAATGCTTTATTCTGAACAGGCACTTCAGACAGCAAGAAAGGCTACTCAACATGAAACCAGGGAGAGGTAACGTTGGAGGACACGACATCCATGGAGGGTGGACACTGTAAACAGACCCTCCTCAGTCATAATTACTCCAAACAACACAACTACACTGTTAACATCAACAACAACAACAGTAACAGCAGCTGCAGTACCTTTTTACACCAGGAGCGTGGCGCCTCCCGAGAGCCGCTTTGCATGGCCACACCTAAGCTTCTCATAGCAGTGCAGCCCGTGGCGGACGCCGCAATACTCAATGCAAGTATGCAAACACAAATGACAGTGCTGGGCCAACGTATCGCTAACACACGACCCGTTCTGTACAAACACACCGTACGTTCTTACGTAACTGTGGCAGCTAAAACACTCAGTACTCAAGGGGGCGATAGAGGACCAATCAGAGCAGGATCTACTGTTATTCCAACAGCCTCATCAGCTAAACGTAGAGAGCGATCTGCTTCACCTGCTCTGTTGCAATGAAAAGGCGATAATGTATCATATACGTTTACGTTTATGTTTATGTAAGTGAAGCATTTTTGTGTGAGACTGAACAGCTTGTCTACTAAGCATGCTGGCAATACCCAGCTGCTTTGACAGGCTTGGGTGTCGCTATAGCGACCCTAGAAGCCAGCTTGCGCTACGTCAAAGCATCTGTCATGTTTTGGTTACTCTTTTAGTCTTTTAGACTGAGGTATGTAAATGACGTATGCTCTGATTGGCTGCCCTTCGTTACGTCTCATTCAGGTGAAACACTCTTTGTAACTTCAACGCGGATGGGCGGAGCTAAACTGCTGTGGTTTGCGCAGGTGGCTTGTCTGCAAATTGTGTTCGATTTTTTGTGACATCACAAAAACAGTGCTCCTCTTCAAGGGTTCTTTAGTAAAGGCAGTGGATTTGTATAGAACCACGAGCACTCATGTACACCATTAGAAAGTATATATGGTTCTTCTCTATGATGCAAAACCATATGGTTCTTTAAAGAACCCTTTTTAAGAAGCACCAAAAAAGGGTTCCCCTATTGTTATGAGTCAAAGAACTCTTTTTACTAATAGTGTATTTTCTGAAACTTGAATGTTCATGTAGTTCTTCTCTATGACACAAAACCATATGGTTCTTTAAAGAGCCTTTTTGAAAAGGGACAAAAGAGGGTTCTCCTATTGTTATGAGTTAAAGAACCCTTTTTTACCAGTAGTGTATTTTTTGAAACTTGAACGTTTACGTAGTTCTTCTCTATGACACAAAACCATAAAAGAACTCTTTTTAAAAAGCACCAAAAAAGGGTTCTGCTATTGTTATGAGTCAAAGAACCTTTTTTACTAAATGTGTATGTTTTGAAACTTGAACATTTACATAATTTGTAATCTATAATTTTGAAAAAAGTGAGGAAAATGTGTTTTTCCATGATACCAACTCCTCAATTTTCAAAGATAAGAGCATTAAACTCATTCCAGGAGATGCCGCTGGTCATCTGAGGTGTGAATTTTAACTGAAAGTTTAACTTAAATGATAATTTTGCAGATTAACGCCTCTGATTTCCTCTTTTAATCTGTATAATCACTGATCTACACAAACAAAGTGCAGAACAGGACAGTCTCTCCTGCACTGAAGGAGTGATATGAAGAATCTGACTGATTGATTAAGCCACATTAGCTCGATTAAGCTTTGTTCCTGTATGAAACGTCCTCACGGTCCCTGCTTTATCCCCCGACACTCTGCAGAACCTGCCACTTTTAAAGCCCAGTTAATCAGCACTGGTCATGTATTATGCATCAGCTGGGACAGCGCGGTAATCCCAGTGCTGCTTGTACAGGAACGGAGGAAACGCATCTGTAACGACAGCTGGTTTGGGCACCAATTGAGCATCCAAACCGCTCCTTTCAGGAGGTGTCCGGCCTCTGGGCCCTCTCGGCGTCTTCCCTGCTATACCCCATTTATCTACTTTACTGGAGCTGTTAGGGCTAGAACATTAGAATCTCCTATTAACATTCAGTAAAGGGCTCTTTATTTTCTCAGGCTAATTTCAAATGTAAAAGTCCTTCGGAAAGCTTACTGTGTTGTCTTTGTTGTCTGTATTCCACTGTGTTTTACACTGCATTACTATAAAAACTGCTGGATTGATAAATAATCAAACAATGAGATTTAACATTACGCTAAATCATTTCCTAAGAATCATAACTGAATCGAATGGAGAGATTGACACGTTTATATTACAGTGGTGTCTTTGTACTTGATTATAATCTACTTTAATAATATCCAACCAAATATGAGATCATTTTTGTTGGTAAATACAAGATTCCCAGCTATTTCTAAACCTTAAACATCCTTAAAACCCTGTTGTTATGTGTTTGTGCATTCAATATATATTTTTTATCTGATTTCTGAGTCTTATATGTATAATTTAATTCAATTCATAGTAAGATTTGAGATGTTATAATGCACCGAAGTCTTTCCTAAAGAATCATAATCAAATCCAATCATGGAGCCAGAGACTGACACCTAAAATGTAGTGTTGCTTTTGAACTCGATTATTCGTTTAATAATAATTGATTTATTTTTACCAAAATAAAATTTTCAAACTATTTTCAAATGTAAAAATCAATCAAAAAAGCTTGTAGTAGTGCTTGTAATGTCTCTATTCTGCTGTGGACTTATAGGTTACTGTGAATTGTACCAAAATAATCAAATTGATTCAAACAGCGGTGACATTTTACGAGATTTTACGAGCATTGAATCGTTCTCTAAAGAACTTTTATCACATTGAATCATTGTACTGGCCAAATAACAGTATTTTTAACTGATCAACTGATTACAACTATAATCAATAAAAATTTTTTAAAAATAATATCCAGTGAAGGGAGCACTGATTTATTTTCCAAACTCAGGCATTTTCTAACATACTAATGCCCCAAAACATTGCCATATTGTTTTTGTTGTCTATATTCTGCCGCTGTCTCCATCTCCAGCCACATTTGAGTATGTGAGCACAATTCTGAATAAAACCATCATAATCCAATCAAATCAAAGTTCAGTCAGTCTGAGGTTTGATGCACTGAATAATTTTCTGGATGAATATGAATATGAACACCGATTCAGGGAAAAGAGTGACAGGAGAAAAAGCGGCGCACGGTGGGGGGTGTAGGTGGAGGAAGGAGGGAGCCGAGCGGGACGACGGGGCGGGCTTGTGAAATGGAGAAGTGCAGGGGGCGGTGGTCTTTATTCTGAAATTGGAACAGCTGTGTCTCGCCGCTGCCTTTAAAGAGGGGCCGTGAAAAGATGATGGCACAGAACCCAATCTCCCCAAGGCCGAGTGGGGCGGTGCTGGGAGGAGAGAGAGAGAGAGAGAGAGAGATAATAAAACACACTGGAGAAAAGAGGAGGATGAACTAATGGGATAAAGACAGACTGAGACTGAATACAGAGAGAGAGAGAGAGAGAGAGAGAGGTTTATAATAGGTACAGCTCATGTCCTTTCCTAAACAGAGAGATGGAAGCGGAGAGTAATGAAGAAAGAAAGATAGAGGGAGCAAGAGAGAGAAAGATAGAAAGAGGGAGAGAGAAAAGAGGCAGACAGAGAGAGAGAGAGATAGAGAGAGAGAGAGAGAGAGAGAGAAAACTGAAGGAATGAAAGATGGAAAGAGAAAAAGGAAGGAACTGAAGGAATGAAAGAAAGACTGACAAAGAGAGAAACAGAACGAACAAAGACAAAGAATAAGTGAGAATCTGAACACTAGTCAGTTTTAGGACTGTTTCCCTTTTCTTGTAAAAATAATTTACAAGAATCAAAATCATCATCTGCATTATCGCAGTGTGGGGGAAGTGCTTTTGTATTGCACCATTCACATCAAATTCCTTTGGTGCTTGTGCTGTTGAGCACAGTTTGACTGGGTCTCTACTGCCCGCCTCTTCTCTGTTGCCCCCTAGTGTGAAAGGCAACACATCCAGTAGCGAACAGCTGCACTCAAAAGAGCGCATTTTTAACTCCTTAATCTCTCAGGGCCTGAATTTTGGTCCACACTACACTACTTATATACTCATTTTATAGAAGCTGCTAAATAACAAGTCCTAATGTAAATGATTAAATACTAACTCTGGAGTTTAAGGGGTTAAAAGGGCACAACCACTGTTTTTATCCAATCAGATTCCTCAAGTGTCATCACTTATGCATCATCCAGTGTTGATGCATAATTCAGTGTTGCTCAAATCGATGACATCACCTTATACGCCTTGCAATCCTAACGTCTTATTCGCTGTTCCTCTTTTGCTGCATCAATTACCAGTAGCTACTTCACAGTAAGTGTCATCCACCTCCCATTCATCTCCACCC